GTGTGACGTAGTGCTGAGGATATTTTTGCTTTCAAAAAAGACTAAAAACTCATACAAAAAATCTAAGAAATTAATTGCTAATTAACTAAATGTGGTAATTTGAGAGTCTTTTGAGTCATGTTTCTTCATGTCCTCAAGTGGCGCCTGCATTAGGGGAGTGATAAGAATGTTGTGTAAATTTAGAATGAGACCTCAATGGTGTAGATTATTAAGTCTGAAAGTGCTTTGAAAATTAGTTATTATCTAACCAGTATGAATTTATGAGAAAACTAGTTCATATGATGGTTTTCAAAGCTGTATTGTTGCTTATATACCTAGTTACTCCATGTCTTAATCTTTCTGGCGTTTTTAAAAGCCATCTCCTTTTCTATAGCCTGATGGTTTATAGGTGCCATACATTACCTCATCAGTGGACATTTTGTTCCTGATTCAATGACTGAAGATTAATATGTACAAAGGTTTTGAACTTCAAACTCTGCAAGGGTAATCAATGAGGTGTACGGTTAATTAACTTACTAGGTAATTAAGTTTCTGCTGAACTTTACATTGCGGTTTTCCCTGTCAGATTTTAGCATTGTTTGGAAAATGTATTTTAAAACTAGATAAGCTGAAGAATTTTTATTAACCATTATGGCACTTGCAAACTCTGGTGTTTCAAGAGGTTTAAACCTCTTAATTTAAGGAAAACACTGGTTGGATATCAGGAAAAGGTTTTTTACAGAAAAAGTGGTGATGTTCTGGCATGGTCTGCCTGGGGAGGTGGTGGAATCACCATCTCTGAATGTGTTTAAAAAAAGACTGGATATGGCATTCAGTGCCGTGGTTTAGTTGATGTGTTGGAGTGTGGGTTGGACTCAATCTTGAAGGTCTCTTCCAGCCCAGTGATTCTGTGGTTCTGTAACTGTTGTTAAGAAATCTTTGCAACTGAAATAATCATTTGGTAAGCCATTTAGCTTTTTTACATGAATAGTTGATTAATATACTAGCTAGCTGTTTCTTTTCTCAAACTGCAGAAATGTGCTACTACCTAATTGTGTAGTAAAAGCTGTATTAAGAACCACTTTTTAAAGTACTTATAGTTGTTACCATAAACTCACTTTAATTTTGTTGGTGCAGCTATTGCCAATTTGTATGAATACATCTCTGCATCCAGACAGATGTATTTATGCAGTGTGCTGTAGAGAGATGCAGGTTTAGGAGTGAAAAGATGCTAGTTGCATGAAAACCAAAGGTCACAGTTGATGATGCAGGCTCTTTGAATCAGGTATAAAAAAATGAAGTCCTCAGCTTTTGAGTGTGAACATTAACTGAAGTGTTCACATGAACCATTGTAAAATGGTTAGGAAACGTCATAATGCAATGATAATGGCTGTTGTTAGGTTTTTTTTCCTTCTTGCTTTCAAGGAGAGCAACTTGTTGGTGATTTAAGTTGTTTTAGAAACACTGCCCTGGTTTTGTTATATAAATATTGCCATTAATAGCTGAAGCATCATTATTTTTAATCTTCTTGTCCCTTCCCTCCCACTACAAGTACTACTGAAGAAATCATTTTGTCAGGAACAACTAAGAAAATCATAGCCCAAAAGTAGTATAAAAATATTATATCTTGTTTGTATCAAACAATTGTTCTATAAATAGTCTTTAATTGTCTGAAATATTTCTTAGTTTTTTTCAATGAAATGTCTCCATTATGTCTCATTACTTACATGGTTTAGCTAGTGAGAATGGATGCTACTGCTTTATTTGTTGTTTGTTTGGCTTAAGTATTACACTGTTTTCCATTAGCCACAGTGTTTTTTTGAAGTACTGTATTTTTTTCGACTCTGAAAGCATTTCTGATTTTTTTTAAACTATTATTCATTAATAACTGCCAACTATATTACTGTGATTACCCCAAATAGTACAGTGGAAACTTAAATATTAATTTAATGCTAATTCTGTCTCCAAACTAGAATTCTTCATTACTAAGCAGAAAATAGTGGACATTGATTTTAAATACTTAGAACAGACTTAAATATAATGTGTGTTGTGTGTACCTTAGTTGCAATTATAAATAAACCTTTAAGTACATGCTTTCAGATTCTGCTGTAATTAACTACTTAAGTGTTTCTTAGATGCTTTTGATAGCAGTGACAAATTTGTCTGTTTATCATGTTGTAGGACTTAACTGCTGTGTAATTAGTGAGGCCTAAATGCACTACTGTGCACCTAGAAAAATTAGCTGGCTGGTGTCCTGTTTTCTCCCTGAACTTCCCACCATTTCAGATAACAAACTTAAAGGAAATTCTTCCTACTAGTTGAAAAGTCTATCTAATTCTGTTTTTGCACGGTGCTGCCTCTTTCTTGAATTTAAGATGCTTTTAAGTTTGGTATGGTGGGGCTTTTAAAAACAGCATCCCTAATCTTTCCATGTTTGAGGTTTTCTTGGGTTGCAGATTTTCCTCAGTTCTGAGTTTTAAGAGATTGATTCACAGGCTTAGTTACATTAACAGATGCCATGCAAATAGCAATGATTATATATTTGATTCAACGTGCAGCTGGTCAGTCAATGGAATGTGTTTCTCTCAATTATTTTGCAAAATCGAGTTACTTAAAGTTTGGCTGCAACCATAGCAGATGCTGATGTGGCAACACAGACCAAACATTCTTTCCTGCTTCAATCATCTGTGCGCATTCTTCATTTAAAGGTCAAAGGAACTCAGCCAGTCAAGCTGACTCATTCTGATGTGGACTATATGAACACCGTACTTTCGGTAGCACCTCCTTTGCACCCATACTAGGGGTTTCTTTTTGAATTGATGAATTAGAAAAAATCATAGTCAATGAGTTGAAATAGTGGCATTTTTGGAGTTTCAGTCAAGGTGATGTGCCTCAACTCTGTGTGGATTGGCCTCTTGCAAGGTGGATAAAAGAACTGTTTTTGGGACAGGAATGATAGTGTCCCAGTGGAAAAGCTAAGACGCCACAGATGGTGACTAATTTGCTAAAACTAGCTTGTGAAACTGAAAATATTCAAATAGTCTTGCAAGCTATTTTTTATCAGGTGTTGAAGAAAAAAAACAGCCTACATGGAGAGTTGAAATTTTTTTTTCCTGCATAAGGTTTCTTCTAAACCATGTTGTTACGATTCTGGCTTTGTAGTTTATGCTGTGCAGAAACATTGAGTTTACATTTGGTTATATACTTCAGTCAGTTAAAACAGACATGTCAAGTTTGTCTTATGCCAACCAAAGAGTAACATTTCTGCATTACTGAACCCTTTCATCTCAGTTTTAGTCACTTGCACAATTCAGTTGTACCATTGATTGTTGATAAACCAGAGTAATTTCATCTCGTTTGGGAATATACTCTCTGGAACTGTATGTCCACATGGGTTACAAAGCCCATCTCCAAACAACTGGGGTTTTGTACATTTTAAAAAACACCACAACAACCCCACTATGCTTGTATTATTAAAAAAAGAAATGACTGGTTTTTTCAGGATTTCTGTCAGTCCATGATAGCTAGCTTACATGAAGGGCTAGATATTTCCTAAGACAGCTGCCTCTTACAATTAATTTTTGTTCAAAATGCAAACCAAACATTCTAATAGTTTAAATTTATACAAGTTGCAAATCTTTTGCTGGTAGATTAAGTAACCTTAAAACAAATTTTTATCATTTTTCAATGTAATTTTTCACAGCCAGCATAGTTTTGTTCTGGAAAAATAAAACTACATCCATCTGCTAAATCCAGATTTTCAAAGGTTACCTTGGTCTTACCTTAGCTGGCATATATCTTTGTCCTTGCTACATAAGGAAAGGTATAGTGCCCATCAAAGAATAACAGATATGAATTTGACGTTGCTATAAAATAGTAATGAATTAAGGAACTTGATATCTACTGAGATAAACATGACAGGAAAGAGATTAATATATCCTTGTGCTGTCAAACTTATCTAAAGCTGCATCTGCTTTGGCTTCTGCCATGTCTTAGGCATTTATATTTACAACCCTTATGTAAATTGAAATAAATGTTTTGTCAGATAAAATACAGGTAAATATTACATGAATTTTTGTACATATCTATTGTTTCTGACTTTTGAAGTTACTACAAATTCTACTTGTCCTCAATGCCTGTTGCAATTATAGTTTTCTTTGCTTACTATTATAATGCTCATTAGAGAAATGAGCGTTGCAATACTTACGGCTGTAGGTCATTAAAAAAAAAGTTTAAAAAGCACATGGCACATCTGATAACCCAGATAAATAAGAAATACTTTAATGATGCTGTATAGTAATGTATAATGATGTTGTAACCCAATCAGTGGAATGTGAAAGTTAAAGTGTGGAAGATGAAAAAGAGCGTTCTACTTCTGGAAGTTGGTATTTTGTAATGGTCTGTTGAAAGGGATGGAATCAGTGTTCAGTCATCTCTTCTTAGTAGGTCTTAGGTTAAAAACTAGTTAATTTACTTCAGGGAGAATTACTCCTATGAAATACTATGGTAAGGTGTCTACTTGTGTTATGCATGTTGAATTTATATTATAAACATTGATCTGGTAAAAGGAATGGAAGAAACATAAACATTTTGGAGTCTAATATCTGTAATACATCTTGAAAAAGAATGAATTTGGGATCCTTAAGAATTCAACATATTTTATTGCTGTAAACAGTTGAGTAACAATTTATTAAATCAGACTTTTCACTGATACAAATCCCTTATTTTAGGAATATTAAGGCAGGCCACATAACATTGTAATGTTCATTCTCTATGTCTTATTTTGCCTACATACTCTATGGACATAGAAGGTGATACAATAGACTAAACTTTTAGCACCAAAATTACATCCTAGGTATTCAGTGCTGCTTGTGGTAGATTGCACGTAACTGGTTGGTGTGTGTATACATATATACACATGTATATATGGAGAAAAAAATACCATGGGAATGTAAGTCAGTAACTCTTGCATCTTTTGAGGGACAATCTGTTTTAATTCTAATATTTCTCTTGTATTTTAGAGGAAGCCCTCATCTGAAGGGAACCCCACATTATAAGGAAGAACAATGTGCTCCTTCATTAAATCTAGAAATGAAGAAAGTGCTGGACTTGCAAGCCTCTATCACAAGGTATGCTCCTTAACTGGGTTTTGAGAATTTTTCCATATATATCAATACTTTTTAAAAACTGAAAGGAAAACTGGATGGAAGAAAATCTTTTAGTAAGTTTTTAGGCTTATTAATAGTAAGGACTAATATTAGCAAATTACTATTAGCAACTAGTAAGTCTGAGGAGGTGAAAAAGTGAATTGCTGTTTAAGAATTCTTTCTGTGCTTGGCTATACTGATAGTTTTGTCATCTAGAAGTATGTTGTATGTTCAGTATTACTGTGTATTGCTATAAATGAGTTTATCCTTCAGCTCAAAGAGTGTTTTAGAGCTTTAATGGAGGTGTTGGTAGGTTAGAGCAAAACTCTGCAGCATTTCAGCATTTCTCCAGATGCCTGCAGAGAGTCCACACTTGTCCTTTTTCTTTACCTCTTGCTTTTTTGAGGTAATAGCCTATCTTATAAAGAAATTTTGAACATGCTAAATAAGTATGTGTTAAAAGTTGGTGAAACTTCATAGCATTGAAGGAGGTGGAAAAGTAACTAAATGAAGTTTGGGAAGAGGCTACTTAGGACAAAATGGGTGTTGGAAGACATGCAGTATATACTGGAAAAAGTTTTGTATGCAAGTAGATTAACAGTAGTTTTCAGGACTTTGGAAATGTTTAAGGAAAGATTTAGAAGGAATCTAATTTCTCCTTCATCAGTTTGTTCCAACCACAGACTAAAATGTACTGTGAATTATTTACAGCCTAGGCAATATTATTAGTTTTCTAGGATAGATGAATAATTGATTGTTGGCAGCAATATCTTATGGTTAGCCAAAAGTATTGAAAAGATCTTCAATACAGTCAAGCAATTACTCTAACAATACAGACCTGTTCATGAACAGTGAATGCTGGAGAGAAGTTGAGGTGTATACAGTATTTTGTCAATGTGGTACATGCTTGTAACTTACTTGTAACTTTAGAGGTAGTTGTACAGTATTTATGACATTAATTGATACTTATGTGACATTGATTTGAGATGAAGTTTTTTTAAGAATTAACAAATATCTTTTATTAGTTTGCAGTCCATGTTAGAAGATCTACTTGTGGCTACTGCTGATGGATTTCTCCATCTCATTCACTGGGATGGTATGACCAATGGGAGGAAGGCCATCAACTTGTGTACAGTTCCCTTTTCTGTAGATCTGCAGTCTTCTCGAGGTAGGTTTTATGGATTCTATTGCTTACAAAGGTTACCTCTTAGTGGCATACCACTTATTATAAAATAGTCTCTCTGTTCTTAAGCAGAGATGGAAAAATTTTGCCATTTGTAGAGGGGAATGAAATAGCCTCTTTTCTCTTTGAAGTTATAACTAAATATCTGAATGACTTGTAATATTTCTGTGTTCGCATATTTTTAAATTACTCATACTTTCTCAGCAGGTTCACTTTTGGGATTTGAAGATGTTTACATCAGAGATATGGAATACTGTGCCACACTTGATGGCTTTGCTGTTGTTTTTAATGATGGCAGAGTTGGTTTCATTACACCAATGTCAAGTAGATTCACTGCTGAGGTATGTTTCCTGTAGCATTTCTACCTAGCACAATAAATGTGTTTTCCTTTGTCTCTGCATTTTAGTTGGCTTTCTTCTTTAAATTCTGTTCAGCTACAGAGAAACTAAAATTTAACATCTGCTTAAGAGATGACATAAGAACAAGACTGCATTTTGTGGCATAATTTGAGCTAGTTTTTTTAGGGTTGGTACCATTGGGAGACCATAATTGATAATGGATTTAACTTTCATTTATTTGTTCAAATTGCCATTACAGACTTGGTCTTACTGTGTCAGACCAACAGACTTCCTGTTAGGAGTTACAAGTGGGATGATAGGAAGTGGTTTCTCCTATGGCTAAGTATCATAAGTGCTATGTCTAGGACTTAGTTCTTACCAAATCTTTCTCTTTCCCATAGTGACAAGCATACTTCAGAATTTCTTTTACAGGAACCTTTTCCAAGTTAGGTGTTTTCTTACCTGTAATTCACCCTAAAAACTATTACATTTTGTTGTTAGATGTCTGCATTTTAATTACAGAAAACTGAAAAGTATACATCTGTGTCAGATTCCTTCACCCACTTAAAACATCGGTGATCTCAGGTGTCGCAGATGGAACTTGCTTTCCTGTTTTTCTTTTTTTCTTCATTTTTAGTACCATCTACCTTTTTTTTTTTTTCCCTAGGCAGTGTTAGGGACTTTTTTGCCTTAAAGGTATTGACTTATTTTGTTATTAAGAGAACTTATAAGCAGTTTTCTTACACATAAATATCTTTCTGTAATTTATATTAAGAAGAATAAAACCAGTTTTATATTTACTGGATTTTGTTTGTTTGAGCCATGTCAAATGATCTTGACATTAATAGAAATTTTGAGATCATGAAGGTCAGCTGACAGATGTGTAGTATTGTGGACATGTATAAAAGCTGACTGTTTTTAATAAAAGCAGAATTAAAAAAAAAAAATCTTTTTAATTCCTTTCTCTACAGCAGCTCCATGGTGTTTGGGCGCAAGATGTAGTTGATGGAACTTGTGTGGCAGTGAATAACAAATACAGGCTAATGGCGTTTGGATGTGCCAAGTAAGTTTTTTAAGGCTGGTTCAGAGCAGGGGGAGATTGTTTCATTATAGAGCTGAATTAGTAGTTACTTCTTAGTAAGTTTGATTGCAAGAACTGTAAAGATGAGAATAATCAGTTTGCCTGGATATTGCATAATGTGCTGTCCAGAAGGTAGGAGAGAGGTGGAAAGAAATGGTTGCTTGCTTGGACTGCAGTTGAAATTCATGTTTGCTGTTCAGGTCTGGGAAAAAAAATAAAATGTGGCTGGACCAGTAGGAACGATTGGAAAGTGCTGCAATCCCAGCTAATCTCAAAGCAGGATTATAAAGTCAGTTTTAAGTAGTTAGTCATAATAATATTGGACAAGAATCAGCACTTCGCACTCAGCTGAGAAAATGCTCTGTGCAGACGTGACTTGGTCAAGAAAAATGTTGCCTGTTTGAGTAACTGTGAATATTTGTAAATTAAATGTTGCAGAAGTGCTTTTAGTTGTGGCATTTTGCATACTGCTCCTTCAAGTCCCCCCTGTATAGTACTGCTTAAGATGGCCTTAGAGTGCAGCTTTTTATCTTCTTTGGTTGTATTTTACTTGGGTTTTGTTTTAGAACATTTTAAATACTCTGGTTTATTTTTCATCTGTCCTCTTAAGAATTAGTATTCTTGTTTGTAGTAACAATACAGTGTGTTAGTGTTTCCTCTGAAACAGGAATAGTTACTTTAATTTACTGATCATGGTATGCCTTAGCGATGGTGAAATTTTGGTACTGAGTAAATGCTGCCTTCCCTCATGGATTATCTGGCAGTTGGAAGGCATAAATATATGTGGATTGTATGTACATACGTATTTTAAGAGAATGAAGTTGTTTTGGTGCATGGATTATGCTAGGGCTGGTATTTTGGGTCCTCTCATGCCTTCTGTAAAGCATCTTAGAAATTTGTTTAATAAAATTCTTTGACTATCACTTGATTCAATATCTGTGTTCTAGATAAATTTGTTATTGGTGAGAGAAATAGCATCTTTTCTTAGCCTCTTGAAACTGATAAGAAACCCAAATGGTCTAAAGCATGTGTAATGTCTTCCAGTGGCTCTGTGCAGGTTTATACAATAGATACCACCACTGGCGCCATGCAGTTTTCTCATAAATTGGAACTGACACCCAAACAATATCCTGGTGAGCTAATTTTATTGCTAGAATTTTCCAGCAGCTTTTAGGGCATACTGTATTTTTTATCCTTGGCTAGTTAACCTCTGTTTAACTGTTTGCATAATAACTGATATGAATTTACACCTATTTGTTTGTAGTAATTAACTTTTGTTTCTCTGCACTTTTAGCTGCTTGCTTTAATTAACTTTTGAATGTGTTTTATGTGTGAGGGTTTGGGAGGCTGGTTTGTGGTTTTGCGGGGTTTTAAAACTAATTCGTAGTCTTGAAATTACTTTCAATTACCTCAGGAAGTGAGAGATTATTGTCAAAATTTATAGTGAGTATAATAGAACTGTGAATTTGAAGCAACTGACATACAGGGTACAGAAGAAGTACTGAGTAATGCAGCATCCTTCCTGCACTGCAGTGTATTTTTTAATGTAGTATTCTGTGCTTGAAAGTAAGGGACATATAAAGTGGGTAAATTGCATCCTCAGCTAAAAATACATATATCTGTTGGTTTTCAGTTAAAAAACAAATCCATAAATAAGTTTTACAGTTGTGTTAAGTGCCTCCATAGTCTGAAAAATTATTTTATGAGAATTGTGGTTCTGTGGTTGTCTTACAGCAGTGTACTTCTGGCATGTTTTCCTATGGCAGTGTACTTCTGGCATGTATTTTTAGTTTCTTATGAAACCAAGCATGCACTGAAAAGAAAGCAATTTTTGTTTGCTACTTACTCATTTTGAGATAGTCAATTTGATAAATGCATCAGTTAATTGAAAAATCAAATATTGACTTCCATATATTTTTGTTTATACTTTTATGGTGAAACCAGTTGAAGGACTTTCACTTACTTTGTTGTCTACTTTTTAACAGATATTTGGAACAAAACAGGACCTGTTAAACTAATCAGATGGTCACCTGATAGCTGTGTTGTGATGGTGACCTGGGAGTGTGGAGGTTTGTCCTTATGGAGTGTTTTTGGTGCTCAGCTTATCTGTACTTTAGGAGGTGATTTTGCGTGAGTATTTTTAATGACATTGTAAATAGTTTATTAGAAGTCTTTGTTTTTCTAATTGAAAGCATCCAATTAGAAATTAATTCACTGAATTAGCTTTTTTAAAATATCATTTTCTTTATGATTATTAATATATCTTGGCAAATATTTAGGAGGGGATCATTAAAATATAAAGAAAAATGTATTATTTTTGTTTTGTAATGGTCTTTTTTTCTGTAAGAGAAAATTACCCTAGAAGCAAGCTTGAGCAAGCAAATATTAAAATTACCTCAGTGCCTGTGTTTCAAATAGTTTATGCTAGCCATCTGACAGTTGCATTGCCTTTTTTGCAGTGTAATGGATCAAACAGGCTGTACCATTTGAGATGAGGTTCAATATAGAACCATATGAAAATACGAAGATAGGAATTTAATTTATTATTCTGATTATGTCATTTGCAAACTCAAATTTGTTCTGTTCTGTTTTTAAGGTATCAATCTGATGGTGCCAAAAAGGACCCTCTAAAAATCTGTTCCATGGTAAATATGAATGTAAAAATCCTGTAATAGGATGACTCTTAATGTTTAAAATTGTTTTTAATTGTATAATGTTTATAATTGTTTTAATCTGTATAACAGATTTTCAGAAAATCAAACTTTCTTTTGACTAGTTACTTTTCATAGCAGGATGCCTTCACTACAATGTTTTATTGAAGGAATAAAGTATTACTGATTAATTTTTTTCATGAAGTATGCATGACATGCCTTTTCTTGCCTTTTAATAATAAGAATGAACACTTTGGATTTTTTCTTAGTTTTGCTTTTTTATCTGGTGCTATATTTCAAAGTGCAGTGAGACACAGATCAATATTAATTATAAACTCCCTTGTTTCTCTAAAATTACTAGCTGGCCTTTGACAGTTAAAGCAACTTTACTCAGATTATGAATTTCAGAAAAACTTAACTGCTGTTTTTTAATACAAACTAGTTAACATTAAATCCAACCCTGCTCATCTGTAAAATCAATAAATAAATATAATAACTTAGAGTAAATTTTAAATCGGGACAAATTTCAAACACATTCTACAATGCCTCATACAAGCTGTGGTGAATTTCATGCAGTATTTCTAAAACTTCCAAATTTCTAAAATTTGGTTTATTCATCATGACATATTTGCTATGAAGATTGACAGCTCTAAACATGCATCCCAAGTGGAGGTATATATATGCAATGACAGTACCTTTTAAATGTACCTTTAAAAAAATTTCAAAAATTGAAATTCTGATATCATTGAATTTGATGAACAATAGGCAGTGTAATTTTGGAAATGCAGATTGTTTCATACCTGGCTCTGTGGAATTTTTAGATAATAAACTGCAAACTAAATAGTCTTCATTACTTATGTGGGTGTCTTTGCCACAGTTACACTTCATTTAGTCTTTTTTACAATAAGGCAGGAAATAATTCAAGCTAGATTCTTACTGTACCTTGTGAATTTTACTGTTTGATTCCCGTAATGATATGGTTTAGAACAACAAAATGTGTGGATTTTTTCCAGGCTCAGTTACAATAAGTTTCTATAGTTCTTGTTTTATGAGAATATATAGTATTACAGTTATATATCACTATGTAGTGTTAAGCTGGGAATTTTATTATTGTTATTCTTTTACCTTCAGACCTGGGGATCCGAAGGGTATCATCTTTGGGTTATTGATGGGAATTCATCTTCAAACATGAAATCTGAAAGAAATTCAAATAATGAAGCTCAGTCGTTTGGTATTCTGCAGTTTCAGTTCATCAAGAGTGCACTCACTGTTAATCCTTGTATGGTAAGTTTTTTTGTTGATAAATATATCCTTGTTTTAGATCATAGTTCCAGTTTTAGGTGACCTCTGAGTTGTTTGCTCAGATTTTAAGTCTGTTCTGCAGCCATTAGAGTTGTCTTTCTTTTTTGTCATAGAGCCTTTAAAATGTTACTGTAAAAATATTGCTATGCAATATTTCATATTATTTACTTAGAGTCTCTTAATAGATTGATCATGTGTTCCTTTGTCTTCTGTATGTGGAATTCAAAGTTGCTTCTTTTGTTTTGTTTTGTTTTGGTTTTAATATAGAGTAACCAGGAGCAAGTCCTCCTTCAAGGAGAAGATCGCTTATATTTGAACTGTGGAGATGCAGCACAGACTCAGAGTCCCAGAAATACTTTGGCGCACTCTGAACATAGCCACAGCAGGGAAAGAGGCCCATTTTCAGGTGGCAGTCTAGATTCTCAGGGTTTAAGCACTTTACTAGGACACCGGCATTGGCATGTTGTACAGGTAATTGATCCTCATTTCCCATATGTGCTTTGTGCTTGAAAGAGTTTGTAGGAGTAGAATATGCAGCTGATCTCACTGTCTGCCGGACCTTTTTACTTTTTATTGTCTCTGGTACAACTTTTTCTCTTTGACAAAAGGTAAAGCAACATTGAGCCTATCAGCCTTGTGGCTATGAATTTTGGGAACGAGTAGTTAATTACTTTCTTGTGCTTTGAAAGAGAGAATAAATGCAATATGCAAGAAATAATTTAGGTGTTTATTTTGTTATTTATGCAAAATGCTTTAAAACATATTCAGCTGATGAATATAGCCTTCAGACTCCAGCTGTATTCTCATGTATAAAAAATGGCATCTATTTAAGCACTAAAACTTCACAATATTAGGCTTTCAAAGAAGAAATTGTTTCCAGCGTAGTAATGGGACTTCTATTTTCCCTGTACTGTAAATAAAAAGATAAATATCTGTTAATCTGTAATTCTAATGTGTGTTCTTTGATGCTTGAATTGGTCCCACTTTTTCAAATAAAGGTTTTTGAAAGGTCCCCAGTATTCTGTTCTTCACATAGGATGTGGATTGGTTATATTAAAAAGTATTTGATTCTAAGCATGTCAGGCAGGTTGTAGATACTGTTGAATTTCCACTTCAGTTGGCCAGGTAGCTCTTCTGTCTTCTGAAACTAGTGTAGGAGAGAGTAAAAGTAAAGCTGAAATAATTAGAATTACTGTGCAAAGCAACATATCCATGAAAAAGGACAGTGGCTGCCTTATGTCTTATCAGAAAATGGAGTTCTAAGCTGGGTTGGTATCATCCCATATGATGTGAAGAGTACAGAATTGAGATTTGATCTGATGTATTCCAGTAAAGTTGTCTCATAAGAAGGCTTTTGGATATGTTGGTGTGTATTTGACAGGATTAGAAATTTCATCCCTATACTGAAAGTCCTGCCTGAAGACTGTATTTATCAAAACCTTTATGTTTCTTTGAAAGAGTCTCTTAGAGAGGGAAGTAGCTGGGAGGAGAAATGAGGAAATTGTAATTATTAATCTGTAATATAGTTGGTATATTTTGTTAATGCATTTTGATATATTGTGTATTCAAAACAGGGTAACATTTAGGCATCATTAACTTTTGGTGTGTAGGCAGTAATTGTATAGAAAAACAAATTCCCAACATTAAATACCTTTATGATAGTGTTTTGAAAAAAAAAAACCATGCTGACGTTGTCCGAATTCCTACAGGATGTTACAATTAATTGGTACTTTAATGGTAGTTGGTGTAGTCATGTGGTTTTTGTTTTCTCTTTTTTTAGATTCATAGTACATATCTAGAGAGCAACTGGCCTATAAGGGTGAGTTATTTTAAGAATATGTTCATGCTTATTTAAAAATATTGGAAGGTTATGATTGTCCATTATGATCGGCTGAAAATGAAATCATTATTTTACATTACAGAAAGAAAACTGTGTTAGTAAAGTATGAAACATGAAGATACTTTACATGTTTTGAGTCTCATGTTATATTGCCTTGTGGTGCCATATTTGGATAGGATATATAGTTTAAACAAGTTCCCTTCTGAGGTTCTGATAGCTTTTGTTTCTTTTTTACAGTTTTCAGCTATTGACAAGCTTGGACAGAATGTAGCTGTTGTTGGCAAGTTTGGTTTTGCACATTATTCTTTACTCACCAAAAAATGGAAGCTGTTTGGAAACATTACCCAGGTGAGAAGTTGTGGAATTTTATTATGGTGCACATAGAAGATTTTGTTTGTTGGGATACAAGACTTGGAGAAAATGAAAGAGTATCATTTTCAAGTAAACAGCCTGTAGACACACTTGGGATTAGGGCTGCTGGTTATACATGTGTTTCTCATTAAATGTCTGAAACACAGATCTTGTGGTTTTGACACACTAAGTTGTGTCTGAATAATAGCAGAGTATTCCAATTTTCAGTGCATAAAGTCAGGCACTTAATTCCACTTACCATGTGATGTAGCTTTGCATGTAAAGCTTGTTAATTCTGGCTAGAATTTACACTTGAGAGAGTCCAAGGATACCAGTAGCATAAACTACTGTGTTTTCCACTACTGTGGAACTGTATTTTGTAGGATGAGATTTGTCCTTCGCATACTACTCTTTAGTACTTTGGTTATTGTAAACATTAAAAACTTCATGTACATAGTCTTGCCATTATGCATAAAGCTTATAGAGATCATGCATGGCTTTAAGAAATTACTCATATAATGTAATGGGTGTGTAAGGATATAAAAATACATACCTATATGTCATCTGTTTGCATTTTTATTTTTAGGAGCAAACTATGATGGTAACAGGTGGCTTAGCATGGTGGAATGACTTCATTGTTCTTGCATGTTATAATTTAAATGATCACCAGGAAGAGGTGAGATATTTTTCTTCAAAGTAAACATAGAGTGATTAGAATATTTGATCTGTATGACAGTAGTAATATAAGCATGAAATTTATTGTGGTCTTGTAAGCATGTTTATACATGATGGACTTTGGTGGCTTTTGGTTATATTCAGAGTTTATATCTTAATATATAAGTAATTCTTTGCAGGTTTTTTTGTTATTAAAAACTATTTTCTGCTGATTACAGTGAATCTACTCATTGTTCTGAAATCTTTGTGACATTTTTGCATGTCAGCACAAAGTGTGTTCTAAGATACCTGTTTACAGTGTTTTTGGGACAATTTTGCAAGCTTTTAAACTATATGGGCCAAGGAGATTTACTTATTCTTTGCTTTTTAAAACTGGTGAATAAAAGTCCTTCCTTATGATTGTTGTTCAGTACTTCAGATTTGGCTGTACTTTGCTTTAACTGCTTCTGCTGTAATGATAAAATGCAATGGATAAAATACTTGATTAAACAAAAACTTGGTAATGTGTCTTGGCAGAAATTCTTGACAGCCATTTCACAATAAATAAAATAACCATAAGTGGAATTGCTATTAGCTTGTTGGTAAACAGAACCTTTATTCAAACTACTCCTTTTCCTTGCAGCTGAGAATCTACCTGCGCACGTCTAACCTTGACAATGCGTTTGCTCACATCACCAAAGTGCAAGCAAATACGTTACTACTGAGTGTCTTCCGGGACATTGTGATATTGTTCAGAGCAGATTGTTCCATTTGCCTTTACAGTATTGAGAGAAGGTCTGAGGGGTGAGTCACTATTTAAATGCTTTTGCAGTAAGGTACCTGTAGATCTGCTGTCAGTCTGAGTAAATGCCCACAATAATACAAAGGTATTTGATAACTGGTGGAGTCTGATTTTTAAAATACAGAATGGTGTTATCTCAATGCACAAGTTCATGAGTGTTTTCACTTGCACGCATGCTGGTAGGCACGTGCAAGTTAGAGGTTGGTAGTGGCTGATATATGCACATTTCTAGCTGTTTGAACAAATATGTTCCTAAATCATAGGAATTTGAAAACTGAATATGAATAGGAGAAAAAGGGACTAGAATACACCCACATATTTGAATATTTTAAAATAAAAACATGTTTTTAACATTAGAAGCAATAATTAGTGACGGGAAGATGGCAGCAAGCTTGCAAAGATGAAGAGAGAACGGGTTTGATACTAGTGTGATGTTGAGGAATTGTTTTATTGCAAAAGAAGTAGTAACATAAAATATGCCAGATGCTTTCAGACAGTTAAGATTAGTGAATCTAAGGAGGAAATAAAGATTCAGTGTAGGTTTTTAAGTGCCTATGTAGGTGATTTTTCTTACAGTTATGGTATCTTCTTTTTAGCAAGAAGGGGCCTTTCTGTGGTAGGAAAAAGCAAGTTGTTGATGAACTTCAGAGAAAAATATTTTCAGTGCTTTAAAAAAAGCTCCCAATAGAATCCAAATCTGGAAGCTGTCTTATTGAATGGTCAATAGAGTTATATTCTGAAATATTTGATATTGTCTTCTACTCACGCACAGCTGTATTTCCCAAAGTATCAAGATCAGTAACCTTGTTTAGATTTGTTTGGTAACTTTATTTATATAAAGTAGATATGTGGGCATTTCTATTTATTCCTGATTAAAGGAATGTCATTTGTTCCATTGAGTAAATTGTTTGCTAAGGGTAAGTTGTTTATTTTAATTAGGTTTGCTTCAAGGTAGTTATTTTAAGTAATGTTGTAAAATTTCTAAATATAGTCATTTTCCTTTCAGTCTTAATCCTACTGCCAGTATCCAAATTCTTCAAGAAGTGTCCATGTCTCGGTATATTCCCCATCCTTTTCTTGTAGTGTCTGTTACATTGACATCAGTGAGAACAGAGACTGGCATCACCTTGAAGATGCCACAGCAGGTAACAGATCTCAGAATTCTGTAGAATTTGTGCCTGAATTTGTTAGCTTACTCCTTAAAGGTTACTGGGCAGATAAATCAGACATGAAGCAGTGGCTCTTCTATGTGGTAAAATCCACATGTTTTTTTCTGATGTTCTTTATATAGACATTATATGTGGGAATTGGGGGTGAGGGGGTGGATAGAGAAGTAAAAATTTCGATTTTATTTCATACCTTCTCTTGTTAACTTGCTAAGTTTGGGACCAAGTCTTGGTGAACAAATTAAATTTAACTCGGTCAAGGGGTGTATTGCTCTATCGTGTATTAAAATTCAAAGACCAGAGCAATCAATGGCATTAGGAACTACCTTTCTTGCAACAACATGTCCATTACTCAAAGAATAAATACAAAAATGAAAAGATGGCACATGACCCTATAAGGCACTCTTTGTCAATTCTGCAACAGCCAAACAAATTACTTAAGATGTGAAGGTCCCTGTCTTAACTTCAAAATTTTGTCAGGGAACTGGAAGCACATGCAGATAGAATTGGATTTTTGTTGTAAACAAAAATGGAGCAGGCTTAACTGAGCAGAATACTTTTCTTTCTTGACACCTTACTAAAACAATTTTTCTCTAACTGCAGCTAAATAAAAGTCCAAGATGCTGTAAAAGTGTGACTCAGCTCTTGGGTACTAGTGTTAGTCTTTCAGTCAGCTACTGGCAGTCATGCTGTGATGATACTGATAAGAATATGGAACTGTATTTATCTTAGAATTGTTTTGCCAATTTTAAGAACACATAGTTGGAAAAAATCCGTATTAAACACGTGGAATGAGTGTGATGAATAAGAGATCTTCCAGTATTGACTCCTTTGCATAAGAATTGGTTTTGATTTTTCTGAGTCCTTCTACATTGAATTCAGCTGTTAGTCATCTCTATGTGGCACATTGAATTTACATTTTTTTCTGGGTTTTTAATGTGGTTATGAGTAAAATTATAATTCAAAAAGCTTAAATAATTTGCGTAATATTCTTTCTATTCTTAGGCTTGTGAAGCTGAAAGTATAATGCTTAACTTAGCAGGACAACTTATCATGTTGCAAAGGGATCGATCTGGACCCCAGATACGAGATAAAGACAATAATCCTAATCAAAGAAAGCATGTGAGTAAATGTATGTGGAGTATTGCATGTGGCTTCAGAGATCTCAGTGATGGAAGAAGCTGTGCAAGAGAATGGTCCAGACATACAATATGACTATAAGCAAGACGGTATCTATGCTTACAGATGGAATTGTTGGCTGGAAGTATATTACCATTTGCTTATGTTTGCTAATTAATACTGAAATGAAATAGACAAGCATTAAGAGTAAAGATAGTGCCCAAAATTTCATATGCACCAATAACAGAAAATCTCTAGTCTGTCCAGAACTGTTTTGTATGTTTATGGAACATTATCATTTTTTGCAGGGTGCATTTACATTTTCATTTGCAATGTTTACATGTTGGCAATAACAACAATAGAAATCAGTTACTGAACTTTCACTTCTTCTGAGCTGATGAAAACTAATTCTATGTGAAACAAGCATGTTGGGAATGTGAAATTTGGAAAATTCAGATAAAGATTTGTCAGTTCTAGGTTGGACTTGGGGGCTAACTGAAGAAGCAGAGAGCAGGTTTTTATTTTTCACTTTTATTCTTATCTCTTTGCTTCCTGATGAAGTATTAAAGAGGTTAAAAAAAGAAAGAAATTTCTTGAGTTAATAAAAGTATTAAGTGGTCTTTTTTCGCGTGCTAGGATGCAGATAAGAGGGAAGCAGATTTGCTTCTTCTTTGTTAGAAGAATAACATGTTTAAAGAGAGTAGTTCTTAGTTGAAAAATAGAGTTATTGTGAATAGGTAAAAATAAAAGAAATAATGGTTAATGATTTTAAATTTTTTTTTTATTTTTCATTTTAAATAGCTGCCTTTTTGTGCTCCAGTTGTCCTAGCCCAGTCTGTTGAAAATGTATGGACTACTTGCAGAATTAACAAACAGAAACGCCACTTACTGGAGGCTCTGTGGCTCAGCTGTGGTGGGGCAGGTATGAAAGTCTGGCTTCCCCTGTTTCCCAGAGATCATCGAAAACCGCATTCCTTTCTGTCAAGACGGATCATGCTGCCTTTCCACATCAACATATACCCACTGGCTGTTTTGTTTGAAGATGCCTTGGTTCTTGGTGCTGTTAATGACACTGTGCTCTATGACTGTTTATACACTCAAACCAGTGCTAGAGAACACTTAGAGGTTCTCTTTCCTTTCTCCATTGTTGAGAGAACCTCTCAGATCTACCTCCATCACATTTTACGCCAGCTCTTGGTTAGGAACCTCGGTGAACAGGCCTTGCTTTTGGCCCACTCCTGTGCCACATTACCATACTTTCCTCATGTACTAGAACTGATGCTTCATGAAGTGCTGGAAGAAGAAGCTACCTCGCGGGAACCCATTCCCGACCCTCTCCTACCCACTGTGGCGAAGTTCATTACAGAATTCCCCCTCTTCCTGCAGACAGTTGTTCATTGTGCTAGGAAGACAGAATATGCCCTGTGGAATTACCTTTTTGCTGCTGTTGGAAACCCAAAGGACTTGTTTGAAGAGTGCTTAATGGCCCAGGACTTGGACACAGCTGCCTCTTACCTTATTATCCTACAGGTAATGGCACCAGATATATTGCAAGAGTACTGATACTTACTAATATTGCAGTATTTTAAAAATAATGTCATATTACAGTTGTGCGTGTTCAACAGGTTTTTAACAGTTTCCTGTTGGTATTATGTCCAAATATGAAGGGTAGTAAGATAATGCAGTGTAAATATTAGCTTACTGTTTTAAATAGGAAAATTCTAGCATGAAATTTACTGTTTATAGTCTTTGGTATACTCAAATGTGAAGCAGTGTGGCTTGACTTAGTAGAATTTCTGATGCTCTGTAGTAAAAGTAAAGCATTTAATTATGCTTTGTTGCTTGCAGAATATGGAAGTTCCAGCAGTTAGCAGACAACATGCTACTCTCCTATTTAATACTGCCTTAGAGCAGGGAAAGTGGGATCTCTGTCGTCATATGATTAGATTTCTTAAAGCCATTGGCTCTGGAGAAACAGAAACACCCCCAGCTACACCAACAACTCAGGTTTGTGTTGAGAAAAGTAAATATTGTGCATCAAGCCTTGTATGATTTATCTTCATGTTATATATCATGTTTGGTTCTTTCAGTGTACGTTTTGGTTTTCTTGGTTTTAGGAACCTAGTTCAAGTGGTGGTTTTGAATTCTTCAGGCATCGCAGCATTAGTTTATCCCAATCAGCAGAGAATCTCCATAGCAAATTTAATCTGACAAAAACACTGAGTATGCCCTCTGGCCCATCTGTAAAAAGGTAATGTCCTCCCCACTTTATTAGGTAGAGGACTAACTTTCTTACCAATTTAAGTTACAGAAATGAATTATATGATAGATTTGTCATTATCTCCTTCTACATCTTTTGCATTTATAATTGCACAGCTTTTGTACTGTTTGTGTCTCGTAACATTCTTGGGAAAATATATTCTCACACATGTAAATTTATGTATGTGTGTTTGTATCTGTGTACAGGCATGCTTACATAGATATTGCTGACCAAATACTCTGAAACCACTGGATGTGGTGCACATTACATGTGTAGTAATTTAAGTAGCTAGTGAGACCATGTGCCTCATATTAAAAGGACCTGTTTTGCTGAAAATACATTTTGAACAGTTCACAGTTCACAGCATCACAGTATACTGCTCTGCTCACATCTTGATCTGGCACTGTGTTTCCAAGCTACAAAGAGAATCTTTTATGTCTTGGGAGGAACTCCTCTAAAGCTGCTGTATACTGACTTGATATTGATAGGTGTCAGTTCAGAAGTAGTATTGAACTGAAATTCATTATTATCTTTGCTTTGGCATTTTTCCCCATCCTGATTTTAAAGCCATCCCAGTATATATTCTGAATTAGTAATTTTTAATCGAGAGTACTTCTTAAAGGTTTTGATAGGAAGGGTTCTAGGCCAATACTTGACTATTTCTCTAAACCTTGCAATGTCATCTGCCTTTTATCTGTCTTACTTCACTTTTTTCTGTATTGGTAATAGTTTAATGCTCTATAAAAACTTCTGCTGTTGTAACTTAAATCCTTTATTTCACCTACCTATTGAGGCAGTGGGATCTATTAGAGAATATAAACAGCAAAGGATGTTGGAAACTGCTTCTGCTGTTTACATAGAAAGCACCCCTTTTACTACTCTGGTGACTCGATGTTCTGCAGTTGTGACTCAGCTTTATCAGCATTCACTTGGCTGTTCTGTGCTGTGTGTGTAGGTGGAGTAAAGACAGTGACTGTGCTGAGAACATGTACATTGACATGATGCTCTGGCGGCATGCGCGGCGTCTGCTGGAGGAAATCAAGCTGAAAGACCTTGGCTGCTTTGCTGCACAGCTGGGCTTTGAGCTGATCGGCTGGTTGTGCAAGGAGCGAGCCAGAGCTGCCCGTGTGGAGGATTTTGTGTGTGCTTTGAAAAAGCTACACAACGATTTCCTCTGGCCATTTCCGGTTATACCAGCTTCATCCATTAATTCACCTTTCAAGAATGGAAAGTGCAAGACAGGTACAGTAGCATCTGGGTTTGATAGATTTCCCTCAGATTTCCCTCCTGCAATGCTACATCTGTGAATCTGCCTCTCTCTGAGGCTTGCCACCTGCACAACTTTCTCACAGAGGATGTATTTTTTTAACAGATTCTGTTTAGCATAGACAGTATCTCTTGTGTGATTATCATGTCTATTGAAATCTCCTGTTTTCCTGGGTGTACTGAATTGGTAATCAGTGTAGATGCTGAACTCAACATGGAAATTGCTTCAGTGTAGATTTTGCAGAAAACTACTAAAACATTTTTTTTTTTTAGTCTCTAGATGAGCTTTGATTAACTGTTCTAAAATTAAATAGTAATGTTCCTAATATTTGACATTTACTTTGTTAGATGGTGAGAACTTTGAAGACTTCTCTAAACTTCCTTTACGTTACTGATCTTGCAGTTACCTCCTTACAGCAAAGTTGACATTTGTTACCTTATCTCCATATGGCAAGGTTGAAATTGCTGCCAAGTCTTCCTCTTCTTAGTAGCAACATCATTATTTATTTCTGTTGATGCTAACACTTTAGTACAGCATACTTCTTTCATGCCAGTGCTCACATAAAAGCTGGTCAGTAATTCCTGAAATGCCTAAACTTGCTGCATTCCCTTGAATTTCCTTGGTCCCCTGAATATTGACTTAGATGCAAGTTTTAGCTTCCTGAAATGCCTGGAGAGAACTCTCTAAATTTCCTTCTGGATACTTACATGATTTTTCTATGGTGTGTTTTGATTTTTTTTAGCTGTGGGGGAGCAACTACTAAAATCTCAGTCTGCAGACACCTTTGTAAACATGGAAATGGACACAGGGATTTCAACCACACCTCGCAGTCGCAGCTGGCTTGGTACTATCAGCTCCTCTCAGAGAGAGATGGACACTGTTTCATCCCATGGACCACACATGCAAGATGCATTCCTTTCTCCTTTGCTAAGTAAAGGTTAGTCACTCTTCCTTCTGTCTGCTCATTGGAAATATGTTAAATGTGTGCTCATATTTTGATATTTGTGTATCATTGCTGTATTATAACTTCTCAACCACTGATAAAAATTCAGGAAAAAAGAAAGGATTTATGAGAAGTGAACTGACTTTTTTTACAATAGAAAGGCAATGTCCATGCTGTACATCTCTTAAGTACATGAAGTTAAATATGAAATAGATATTTGCTGAAGTTTCTACCTATGACGATAACTTGAAGTTCAGTATTTTTTTAGTCTGGATAGGAAGAGTGTCCTATGTTATGGACTTTTGTTTCTTTGTCTCTTGCATAGCCTTCTTCTCAGCCTCTTGCAGGGGTTGGAACAGCTCTAATCACGTGAACTTTGTGCTTTTGGGTTTCTTAAGAGTGATATTAGATACATTATTGAGGAAGTTGAAGAAATTAGAGATCCATATAGTTGTATTTTTTCCTATGGCTTTATGTAAATTGCTTTTTTAAAGCTGCAATGTATGATGAGTTTACTAAAATAGAAGTTGTACTTAGTATGTATTTCTTCTGAACACAGAATGAGATGGGAAAAGTTTGTCAGACCATTCTAGCCTTTTTAAAATTTTGTGGACTTCCTCTTGTCCTTGAGCATAGAGCAACATTCCCAACAGTGTCTGAATCATGTGATTTCCACTCCATTAGGGCAAAGATCTAAGTACCTACAATTTCTTAGTTTTTACAACTGTAGAGCCTTCTGTGAGATTCAGAGCATTTGGAGGTCCTCTCTATCTGTTTGGGCACAGTCTCATTTTATTTTCCTCCCGTTTCTCTAATTTTTTTAATCTGGAGACTGCAAGAAAATAGGTATCTCTTTCCATTGCACTGATTTTACTGCTGTCTGCCACTACTGCTCTTTCTATAAACAAGTATTATGTGGGGTTTTTTTTCTGAGCTGGATGAAGACCTTTGAGTTCAGTGGACTTTGGTACGCATTTTGAAGCAGTTTATTTCTAAAGAAACAAAATTAATAGCCTTTAAAACATTGCAAGCTGAATTCTAACAAAAATTTCACAAATTACTAATCCAGCACTGGTATTCATGGGCAAGAAGATAACCAAATAACTTTATGACTTCCTGAACATTTTCCTAGAGAAGATGTGTCTGCTTTAATATGGAAATCATTCTCAAGAGTACAGGTCTTTGTGACTTACCATTGTAATGGTTTTTGCTTTGTTGTTACTGTTCCTTTGAAAATTGTGTTACTGCATGTGCTCTTCATGTTTTTACTGGAAATATTTCCTTTGGTAAATTGTGCTGTTAATATTTACATTACCATGCGTTTGAAATCTTCATGGTTTTGTGTGAAGAAAATAATTTGATATTGAAACTTCATTTTAACAAGATTTAAAGTTAAGTAAGCAGAATTTTAGACATACTGTAACCCTTCCTAGACTTAATTCTAGGACTGTAGTATGCAAGATGCTGTATTGGTGCTTTTATGATGATTGCCAACACATATCTAGGATCCCTTACTGATAATAATTCTCCTGAATTATTTTTACTGGATAGAAAAAATATTGCATTCCTGCAACATTAGTTCTACCATCCAGTGTGAGAAGAAGAATGCTGAAGCCAGATGGACAATATGCCTGAAGTAACTGTGATTCACCGTAAACCATTACTGTTTGTCAATTTTTATAGGAAGTAGTTCAGTAATTCTGAGTCTTACTAAAGTAAGTAGTTTCTTTTTTCCCTTATGTTTCTGAGTGTTTTTGATAGGTGATGAATGCAGCATTGGTTCAGCAACGGACCTGACTGAAACAAGTTCTATGGTGGATGGAGACTGGACCATAGTGGATGAAAACTTCTCCAGTCTAAGTTTAACTCAGTCAGAGCTTGAGCAGCTCTCTCTAGAGCTGGCCAGTAAAGGGCCACACAAGTCACAGGTGCAGCTGCGGTAAGTAATGACACCTTTGAGACTGAGAATTGCTGGCAATGCAGTATTTGGAGAAAGAAACAATCTACACAATCACGCTGCAGTTATTGTCTTGGGAGTAGAAAAATAAACAGCCTTTCTTTCCATGTAGGTACTTGCTACATATCTTCATGGAAGCAGGATGTCTGGATTGGTGTGTTGTCATAGGCCTTATTCTCAGAGAATCTTCAGTTATCAACCAGGTTTTCAGTATCATGCAGTCCTCTGATATTGATGGAGAAATCTGTCAGAATATCAAGACTGGCCTAGATGCTGTTGACAAGTGGGCTTCTACGGATTGGTAAGTGTTACTTTCCACCGTCATATTAATTTGAGCTGTAGTTTGTTACCTAAAAAGTAACTTTGAGTTATTACTGTAGCTTTAGATGAAACCTCACTTCAGAAAGTTGTAATCAAACTGGGAAAAACCCCAAAACACAAAGTAAACTGAAACAAACCCAGAGCAACCAGCTTTCCAACTTCTATTGTTTGATCAGGGTTGCCCTTTTATTTATAAACATTTCTGCTTTTTGGGCACATGACAGAAGTACTGATTTTAATTCATTTATGGTGTTCCATCCCATTCTCTTTCTAGCCCTGGGTACAAGCCATTTCTAAGTATCATCAAACCACAGATCCAGAAACTAAATGAAATAGTAGAAGAGCAAGTACAACCAGAAGCGTTTCAGCCAGTGAATCCTTCTAAGGTTCCTGAACAAGCAAACCCAAGAGCTGAGGAAAACAGGACTTCATCTAGCCATGGCACTAATCCTCAGAGTGATGCTGGCAGCAGCAATGCAAGCAGACATGAAGAGGACAAGGCTAAGACAGAGGATGAGGATTCATTCCAAGAAGGCAGTTATGACTGTGTTGTGTCTTAAATGGAAGGTGAACAACTTCCATTTGTTCAGGTGTTGAAAGGAAGCAAACCAGCTCTTAGATCTGCTTCTGTGTTTTTAATTCGACTCTTTTTTCGTTTGTTTTGGTTTTTTAATATTTCAATCTTTGAAATTTTTAGTGGGGATAACTAAACACCAGTTTCATATAATAATTTCAAAAGGAGGCATGATTCTTTTTTGATGCAGTGGCCAGACTGCAGCTTTACATTTTGATACTTTAAATATGTGGGAGAATGAACACACATGGAGACAGATTCAGCCAATGTTCATCAGTACCTTTACATCACCAACACGTTCCGAAGAAGCTACTTATATCTCGAGTTTAAAAGGTGAAGAGGGGATTAAATATAAAAACTGTTTCCTTTGCAGCTTGCCTGCCTAATAAATGTCTGATCAATGCAGTTCGGATTGGTTTGATACTGATATTTTGTATTAAAGAACTGTAAAATATATTGTATGTTTTTTGTGAATAATCTTGTACAAATACTCAAGACTGTACCATATTTGGAGGTACCTGTGTGTATTTGCATGTTTCTGGATGACTAGTAAAGTTAAAGCAGAGTTGCACTTCTTTCTGGATGAGGCATACTTTACTGACCTAACACTGAACAAGGTGGCTTACCTGCTTTTTACTGTCACTTAACAGATCTTGTAGTTGGGTTAAGGGACTGCTGAAGGTTATTTATTTCTTTGTAAATTCTTTTCTGATAAATGGATTTTTAAAATGTAAATAATCATCATATACTCTTGCTATGGAAAACTAGCTTAACAGCGCATACTTAAACATTTTTCAAACATTTTATAATATGCATACTTCTAACTAAGACATATTTAACTTTCGTACAATGTTATGAAAACCTGGCTGCAGAAGTCTGTTGCTTTGAGGTACTTATTTTTTCTAGCTGCTGTCCCTATGTAATAACTACCTGTAACAGTATTAATTTAGATATTAGCTTGTTTGTACTGTGCAATCTGAACAAAAATGCAACATACTCATTTTATACATGATAAACTAGTTTATTTTTTATAACATCACTTGATTACTGACATGGACCAAACTAGTCATCGTAGGGTAGTTACAACATCTGTTGCTTTTCTAGCGTAGTTACTAAATGCACATCCATTTAAACTCTGAAATTAAGACTATTCACAATTAAGTTTTAAATAAATTGTAGTTTCATCATCTTTATTTCCTTTGTAGATAAGATCAAGTGCTTTAAAATGTACAGATATTAAACTGCTTTAGAATGGCTTTCCTAAGCCAATACAACCAGTACAAGTGCAATAATTGCGAGTATTACGTGGAAAGCTGGAGCTATTAATGAATGCAACTTGAACTTCATTTTAAGAGTTGAAACTTGAGACTGAAGTTAGAGGAAAGAAACTCAGTCTGAGTCCCAGCATTAAGCTTATTCTGCATTGTAGCTACTGGTTACAGATAATGTCTATCATACCTGCAAGCCTGTTGTGACCTGACGTCAAAATTCATTATTGTTTTAAGGGGATAATACTTAAAGCTTTTTTATTATAAAGAAACCTGCTTAATGTATGTTAAATAAAAACTGTACTTCAAGTTAATATTTTTCTGTGGTTCTGTGGTAATGATAAGCCAAGGCCATTCTGGTCAGCATTCTGTTGTTCAGGTTTTGGATCTGTGCAAGTAAAACATACATTAACTGATATATTAACATTCTTAATATTCATATCATACAACGTGCTACTGTTGTTTAGCAGATAAAGCTTTTTAGTTGTGAAATTTTAGAAGTTTGTAGTTCTTTAGTACTAATTAATCTCTATGCAAATCTCATGTGCTAATTTTGTATTTTGATTTCACTGCTGTTATACACCTGTAATTAAAAGACAAATGTATTCAACTTTACTTTTAAGTTACTCCTATGAAAAATAACTATTTCTGACTTCAAGCCTTTCAGGTAGGCCATCTTAGAGAGACAAAGCTCTCGGGGAAACCACTTGATGAAATTGGTTTTTTATACTCCTGTGGCTTGTTTTTTACAGGATGAAGGAATCAAACCTTTACCATATTAGTGCATCTTTGAAGTTACATCCACCTGCTGCTGTGAAAGATGTAGTGGGTTTAGGTGGCAAGGGTCTGGTAGCAAGGGGGGACTAAATCAGACAGAGCCAGTTCCAGCAAACACAACCCGGTGCCTTCTCTCCGTAATGTATTTAACAAGGAGTAAAAAATGCTGTGGAGGGTGAGAGTCTTGCAGGCGGCCAGGCCCGTAAAGGAGGATCAGGAGGCGGTATTCCAGGCACTGGAACAGAGATTCCCTGCAGCCTGTGGCTCTGTGCAAGTAAACACACACATTAAATGATATACCAAGAGTCTTGCTCATTAGCCTCTTAACTGCCGTGGTGCTGCTTGGCAGCTCAGTCCTTTCAGATGGTGGGGAAGCAGCCTCTACTGCAACACACTGTGGAGCCTGCTGGAGCAGATACCCACAGTGGCAGTCTTGGAGCACCCACAAGCAGCTGGACAGATGAGCCCTGAAGGAAGCTGCAGCCCAAAGAGCCCACACAAGAGGAGGATTCTGGCAGGAACTGTGGCCCACAGGGATCCATGCTGGAACAATCTCTTCGTGAAGGTCCACTCCAGCAAGAGGAAGATCCACTTTGAAGCAGTTTATGAGAGACTATCCCATGGAGTGGACCCCATGCTGGAGCAGGGCAATAGTGAGGAGAGGAAGGAAGCAGAGAGTAAATGTTACAGACTGACCACGGCTTGACTCTTAACTGACCATCCCCAGTTCTTCTACACCACTGTGAGAGAGAAGATAGAAGAGTGAATCTGGGAAGGAAGGGGAGGTTGGGGGAAAGTATTTGGTTACCATATTTTAATTTTAATTGGTAATAAAATGATTTTTCCAAGGCCAGTTTGTTTCATCTGTTGTGGGGACCAGTGAGTAAAGATAATGAGTCCCTGTCTCAACCCATGAATTTTTTCATCCCATTTTCTCCTCCTGGTCTGCTGAGAGGAGAGTGTCAGCAGTTTGGTAGTTACCCACCTGCTACCTAGGGTTAACCCTCCGCAAAAGATCTAATCATCGACAGATGTGCACTATTTAACTAAAAATAGGAAAAACAGGCCACTTAACCAGTTGAGGATAAACATCTTTTTATGTAATTCCAACATTTATGGAAATCCAACATACTCTTCCCATTTTGTGAATCCAGCTCACATAAAACTGGCTGATGTAAGATTTCCTCCTTCACAACAATTTGCACATCATCACATTTTCTTGATCTGTTTTTTATCCTGTGCAAAACTCTCAGAAAAACAGGAATAATACTCTATATTTCTTGCTATTAGATCCTTTCACGCTGGGTATACTTACAAAACTGCTTGAATCAAGTTGCATTTCTCAAGGTAATTTTTCACTATCACTTTTGTCAACCCAAGTAAGCTAATTTTTCCTCAGCATATTTTATGTCAAAGAAACCAGTTCAAATGGTTTTAGAGCAACAGTGTCTCTAAGCTACAGGTTTGAGATGCACTGTTAAGTAAGCAGAAATATCTGAATTTATAATCTAGCCAGAACCTCCTTGTACACAAAGGAGGTCCTTTTCACAATAAACTGAAGGGAGAAGTTGTCTGTGGCTATAATGATATTATAAAAGATGAAGAGTAACTTGCTGATGGTCATAAGCTTTCAACTGGATGGATTTCCCACAAGTAAGAGGGAACATAAAGGCAACAGCTGCAACCTACTGTCTCAGCTTCCTATCCTAGAGCTGAACACTTTTGAAGTACTCTAGTAGGCAGTGACAGGAATGGCAGCACAGGGTGAGTGGTCTAAGTCATCCCAGTGTCTCAGCAGACAAAAGAGAGACAAACTGGTTGAGTGTTCTATTTATCACATAACCCCTGAAATGGAAAACTCTTTGGGCTTACTTAGTCAGAAAGCACTGAGAGAAGACTTCTAAAAGTCCACAGTTGGAGCCTACAGCTACTACATAGCAGACACAAGGCACATAACGACTCTTTCCTTTTTTCAAGTTATTGTTTCCTGTCCAAAAAACTCCAAACCACACAAAATAACCCAACAAATACAAAAGGATAAAACAAAAAACCCACCAAAAAATACAAAACAAAAACTTTGAAACAAAACTGTTGCTATCACGCTGGCAGTAGTGTGGAGGAAGGGTTTTAGAAAGGCCTTGGGAATGGGAAACTGAGGAAAAGATACACTTATGTATGCCCCATTGTTTCAGGAAAGTTTCGCTTCAGTATCTTTATGTAAAACCCCCTTCTCCCCACCCCTGAGCAGTTCCCATTGGACCTGGCCCCTGGGGTGGTTCTGATGTGCCTTAGCTGAACACTGTCTCTATTGTTTAGACCTTATCTCTTTATTTTGCTGTATAAAACTGTACCTGGGCAATAGCCCGGGGCCTTTGGTCACTGCAATGCTTCAGGCAATACAATCTCTCTGGACAAGCATACCATTGGTCTCTCTTGGTCTCTTTATCTCGAACCCTAGCGGCGACTGAGGCAACGCTGCCGCTCGGACCGTGCTAACCCAGCTGCTGCCTGGTGAGCCCAGGGCAGCGGGACCACGGAAAACCCCGGCCCCGGAGGGGACAGCTAGCCAGAGGGTCCCGGGGGGCCGGGGAGGGACGGGGGACAGCGGCGAGTGACGCCCGAAAGCTGCAAAAACAAACCAAGACATTCAAACAGAACAAACCACCACCTTTCCCTTGAAAAAACATCTCCAAGTAAACTCTTCATGGGCAGCTTTCTAAGATGGTTACTTAAATTCACCTGTGCACTTACTGGCTTTGAAGCTTCTATTTGTTTCATTCTCAGAATAGATTGAAAGAATGATTCCTTTTTAGATGAATTACTGCTTGTTTTTAAGACTGACTCATCTTTCTGCAACTGAATTTTTTTAAAAAATGTTTGCTAATGAACACTGATGCTTGACATCCTGCTTGAAATACAGATCTTCCTAAACTGGCTTGTACTTCCTGCTCAAGACTCTGCTTTAATGCTCAGCATGTTCTCAAGCTGCACGAACAGCTTTGATACACCATGAAGAGCTGCAGCCCAACAGAACCTCTTCCACAGTGAACAGAAGAGCCTGGCTAATTTCCAGGTTTACATGAAGGTTGAGAATGAATGTTCTGTCTTCAAAATGGAAGCCAGAGTTACATAAATTGACACAAACCACAGAACCTAGGTTTACTGATGTTGCCTGTCTTCCTACCATTCTCTACCAAGACCACATACTAAGTTCTAAAACAGGTCATCCTGCAGGTCCCTTCCAATTATCAAGTCAGATTATGTTCAGCCCTCAAGGGAGAAAAGTATGGAACAGCTTTGCCATGCAGGTAAACTGTTCTTCAGCTACATCCCAACTGCTACAACTACCTCTGTATAGACTTGCTAGATCTCTATTTGATTAGTGTTTCTCCAGGAGAACTGCAATCCAACACAGACTGAGACATTTAAGACAGGTCTTACTAGCACAGAACAGCCCCACTCAGCTCAACAGTCCGTCAGTTTGTGTATGATAGCTGAAATTTTCCTGTTCATTGCACCTATCCCAACACTTCTTTCTTCAAATGCATGCTTCTGCTTGACAATCTTGAAGGTACGGGGACACACTGTAAGGATGCACTAGATTGTGTAACAACAACATGTAGGGGCTTCCTTTACTTACATTGATAAAGTGCTTAGTACTCAGCTTCAAAAGTATGTATTTTAATAGAAAACAGCAGAGTCTCAAATCCATCAAAATGAGGGAAAAACAGAAGAAAGCAATTTAGAAAATGCTGTGGATGTAAATTGTTTCCAATGAGCATAAGGCAATTCTAACCATTTACTGCCTCTACTAAGAATAATGTTTCTACTCTACATCCTGGTATCCTTAAAATTACGAGCTGCTTGCATTTCATACATTTCAAAGAGTAAATCACATAATGTTTTTTTAGTAGTAACCCACAGTAACAGAAGACTTATCTGCTTATACTTGAATAGGGAAGCAGATAGACACAAACAGTGAATTTTTCCATGCTGCTTTTTTGTCACAGGTTAACAATAAGACTGGTCTCAACCATCAGTTTTGCAAATAATACTTAGCTTGGTTACCAGTGACTCCTCTGTATCACATCTTTTTCAAAAACCACCTTCCTCTCCAGGAAACCAGACAGACTTCCCATTTTAACTTTTCTCAGCTCAGATGATTTTTGCATTCTTTGGTCAAGCTTATCTTCCACACAGCTCTAAACACTACCTGTCTAACCCAGCACCTCAGCACTGTTTCTACCCCAAGGTCAAGTAAAACATTACTGCAATGAATGAAAATTCAAATATATAGCCTTTAATTATGCTAAAAATCAAGTCACCAATAGAGTTTTGCTTTTATTTACAAAGACAGAAATTTGCAACAAACCAGACATACCTCATAATAGATTTATTTAACAAGGATTAAATCCTGAGACAGCAGAAGTTATTGCTTCACTTAAAAAGTTTCAGAAATTGCCAACAGGCATTTTTATATTTTTGGCTCCCAGTATGAATTCTTCACACAGCACTTCCAAAGCTTTGAATCATAAGCAAAACTCAAAACTGAGGAAGATGGCAAATATCAGTGCAGCTTTAATTAATTAGCTGTGCATCAGCTAGAGTACAGTACAACACATTTGTTGAGACCCAAGAAACAGGAGTTTTAGTTCATAACTCTGATTTTCAACTCATTAATAGCACTTCTAAATAATACAGGGATTATACTTTCAAATCAGATACAATCAAGTGAGTGATGATTAATGCACATTACTGTATAAACCCACAGGTTTTAAGGTACTGATGGCCAGTTCATTATGATTGCAGTAACTAAACGTCTTACCCTAGCCCATGAGTTGACAATCTTTGTTAATGTCCCTTGCACCAATGACACTGGTTCTTTCCACTATTACACACAACTACAAAACAATCCAAAGGAAAAATTCTGGACTGGAGAGTTGTTATCCATCACAGCTCACACAAACTAACTCACACAGTTTTCTTTCATGTGCTCTACAAACTTATCAGTCCTAGCATGTTTCTACTTGAAATGATGATGCCTGCACAAAACCTGCTCTGCACAACATTAGGCAATACTCATGAGATTAAAAAAAAATATTTAAATTTGTAGTGTGGTATTGATATAGCCCATTTTTTTTATGTATAATTTGGAAAAAAACATTAAGTTCCTTCAGGTACACCAAGTTCTTTGAATTTCAGAAATTACCCTTAACTATTAAACACTGCACTAAAAAACCTCAAAAATCCGGTAAGTATAAAAAAAGAGGTCAGTAGCTTCTGATTTCAAAGCTTGCCAATAAAAATTGGAAGATACTCCAAAATACAGTCATTTATAAAATCGATCCTTTGAAAATAAAATAAGAGCAATCCAGAATATTAGACACCTTTACAAAATTACTCTCTTAGGTGCTTTTCCTTAAGGAAAGGAAACTTTATTTTAAGAAATAGTAAAATGTATTAGGAAGTGCAATATTGACACACTACCAAAGAAGTTTGTCCAAAGGAGATACCAAAATTAGCCAATTCTAATAAATTGGAAAGAAACTTAAAATTTAGAGTAGATTAGTTATAAGACATCCACTTAAAGGAGTGAAGACTTAGAATTCTTATGTATGAGAGAGCAAGTCACACACTCTTGTGTTGATAATGAAAGATCCAAATAGGAACAAAACCTCAAGATGGTAGTTAGACTGAACTAAGCCACTCATGCTGTTAACACCAAAGAGACAGGAAAAGGGGTAGAACTAAGTTTTTTAACAGAAACATACCATTTGGGTAAACAATTACCACATCCCATCATAATATTGATTCTCTGCATTGTGCATTTGCCAAGGACTCAACACAAC